TACTCACATCTCTTCAACCTGACAGCACCTCTCAAGAACAACGATTCATTCAGGACTCGCTTACCAAGATTCTAGGGGTTTCTTGGCATCTTGGAACGGACAACTTCAAGTTCTCCGTCACTCAGCCTGAGACCAGCTTAATAACGAAGAGAATCATTTTATCGGAAACGGCTCAACTCTTCGATCCACTGGGTTTCCTAGCGCCAGTGGTCATACGAGCGAAGATATTGCTCCAGGCTCTATGGATCGAGAAACTGGGATGGGACGAACCAGTTTCCCAGACAACTGCTCAACGATGGAGCCAATTCAGGGAGGAGCTCACACAGTTATCAGAGATCACCATACCTCGGTGGCTTGGACTGCTCACGGATTCCGTCGTCGAAGTACACGGTTTTTCCGACGCATCACAAGTGGCGATGTCAGCCGTGATCTATCTCAAGGTTCTCAACAAGGGAAAATCACAACTCACATTGGTTTGCTCAAAAACGAAGGTCGCACCGCTCAAACGGCTGACAATCCCACGACTAGAACTCACTGCGGCTCTCCTCCTGGCCAAACTGACTAAGTACGTCAAGGACCAACTCAATCTCACGAACGCCACCACCTATCTCTGGACCGACTCATCGGTCACGCTCACGTGGATCAGCTCACACTCCTCAAGATGGAAGGAGTTCGTGAAAAATCGGGTGGCACTCATCCAGGAGCTCACTCAGCAGGCTCATTGGAGATTGGTACCGGGCAAGGAGAATCCTGCAGACTGGGCATCTCGAGGTCTATCAGCGCACCAACTGGTATCTCATAAGCTCTGGTGGAAAGGGCCACCATGGCTTCATCAAGACTGCTCATCATGGCCAACTCACGCTCTGGAAAAAGACCTCAGCGCAGACCTCGAGGAAAAGCCAGGAGTTCTCCTACATGTAAAAGCTCATCCAATCGCGCTCTGGAATCTCGTCGACAGATTCTCATCGTTCAACCGACTGCTCAGGGTCACAGCAATCTGTCGACGATTCATAGCTCGGCTCAGGAAAACCCCCAACTCTTCTCTTCGATACCCGCTCACTCTTGGTGATCTTGAAGAGGCTCGCATCCTCTGGATCAAACTCACGCAGGCAGCTCACTTCAAGGATCAACTCAGAGCGATCTCACGAGGGGAAAGGTTCAGCAAATCCCACCCCCTCACCAAGCTCACACCCTTCATCGATCGCCAAGGGGTATTGAGGATAGGAGGACGGCTCAAGTTTGCTCACATAGGCCCGGAGAGCCGGAACCAAGTGATTATTCCGAAGGAATCTCAACTGGCTCAGCTACTCATCGGACAGGCTCATCTAAGGACACTCCACGGAGGCACACAGCTCACCCTCAGGCAGCTCAGAAGTAGCTACTGGATACTCGGAGGTCGAGCACCAGTACGCTCCTTCATCCTCAAGTGCGTTAACTGCACTCGCCAACGTGGAGTACGCGCTCAACAGCTCATGGGCCAGTTGCCACCAGCCAGACTCACTCCCGCTCGAGCCTTTCTCAACACTGGGATCGACTATGCCGGCCCAGTGTCTCTACGGTCCTGGAAAGGGCGGGGACACAAGTCGTACAAAGGCTGGTTGGCTATCTTTGTCTGCATGACCACCTCAGCGGTCCATCTCGAGGTCGTGTCAGACTACTCAGCCGAGGGGTTCATCGCGGCGTATAGACGCTTTTCAAGTCGGCGTGGGATCGCTCATTCCTTGTTCAGTGACTGTGGGACCAATTTCCTTGGCGCTGACAAGGAACTAAAGAAGCTCTTCTCGTCAGGATCAGCTCAATCAAGACAGCTCGCACAGCTCCTCATCAATGATGGGACTCAGTGGTCCTTCAATCCTCCAGGTGCTCCGCACTTTGGAGGGAAATGGGAAGCGGCGGTGAAGTCGGTGAAGTTCCATCTCACCCGGACGATCGGAGAGGATCTGCTCACTTTTGAGGAACTCACCACTTTGCTCGCTCAAATCGAGGCAGTGCTCAACTCACGACCACTGGAACCGCTCACGGATGATCCTGATGACTGTTCAGCCTTGACACCAGGGCATTTTCTCATCGGTCAGGCTCCCACGACTCTTCCAGAGCCATCTTTAGAGCAACTCAACGTCTCAAGGCTCTCTAGATGGCAGCTCATTCAGCAGAAGCTTCAAGGATTCTGGAAGAGGTGGTCCACGGGATATCTCCAACGTCTTCAAGCGATATCCAAGTGGCACCATCCGACTCATCAGATACGGATCGGCTCACTGGTTCTACTCACGGACGAGAGATTCCCGCCAGCGAAGTGGCCTCTCGCCCGAGTGACCGCTCTGCACCCAGGATCGGACGGACTCACCAGGGTAGTCACCATCAGGACTGCTCAGACGACGCTGACGAGGCCAATCGCCAAGCTCGTCCTCTTGCCCATCTCACCTTCAGGGGAATAGAACCAGGACAGCTCACCGGCTTCTCACCGTTGGACTTCGTCAACTTCGACGGATTTACGACCCTGACCAACCGACGGGGTTCAACGTGAGAATGACAGCAGCCAACGCAGAAGGGATTTACGACCCCCGACGTCTAGGATGCTGCCATGCCTAGCCAGCGCACCTTCCGGACGGTCTCACGGACTCACTCATGGGTGACAAGCTCCGACAGCTCACCAAAGAGCGTTTTGAATTTTGTTTTTTGTTTCAGCTCACCATGGCTCTACTCATTATGGTTGCGTCAACAACTTTACAGTTGCCGACGGCCGGGGAGAATGTTGGAAATCCTGTCAGCTGACAGGTCCCTCACACTAACGCACGCAAGGCTCATCCATTCTCTCCCCACTCACGCACACCTGACGCGCTCACCTCAGATGACCGGGGGTTGTTAATTCGGACACCTGAGGCGCCACGTCCTGGACAGCTCCTTATTACCATATGATCTATATTAAATTAGGTCATGTGACCATCGAATTAGGGCACGTGGCACCTGTAAGCCCGTGTCTCTTTCTCATTCGTTCCCGGGATCGAGTTAAAGACACTTCGTTTATTGTACTGCTCTTTTCTAGTGACTGGGGTTCACTCATTGTGTCAGCTCAATTATTATCAATTCAAGGAATTAGTCGGCTCATTATTATCGGTCCGCTCATTATTACGGTTGCTCAGTGACTCAATCTCTAGTGACTTATTTATTGTGAACATTTTCTTTGACAAATACAGTGTTTTGTGGAACTCAAGTGCACGTGTCCGCTCATTTCTGAAACCGCTCATCTACTCCGGCAAATCCACTCATTACTTGCCCATCTGCTCCTAATTACCACCGATCCACGCATCTCATCATACAACTATCGATAGGACATTTGATCTGTGCACTATCATGTCGTGTACAATTTTCGAGCATTCAGTTTTCAGAAATCTGAGTGAGAAACTCAGACCTAGAAGCCTGCCATGTGAAAAAATGCATAGACTGAATGTAAAAATGCAGCCAATGTCCCGAAACGTCGCCCACGTGTGACACATTGATGAATACATCTTCTGCAATTACAAAAACGTCGGTTGGATTCGTTCCTTAGCCAAAATTGACAAAAAACTACTAAAAATCCGAATTTCTGCGCGCGCAGCTGTGAGTTGCGACAACGTAGCTCTTGCTGATCGGGTGGAAGTAAACGCGGTAAATACGAAGATGAATCAAGGACCGTTGTGAACTTCATGATATCTGAACATAATTTCCCCGAAAATAAATATCAATAAAATTCATGAAATTTTTGCTCTTTAACACGTTTCTCCTTGAGAGAAACCATTGTTTCTGCAGTGATCTCTATTTGAGGTTAGGCCGAATACAGAGAACAATTGGGGCTGTTACTCATGTGGGAATCATTTGTGATTCCTCACTTCACAGCGAGATCCTGGCATTTATTTACTATTATTTTGCTTATCGATAGTAAATTATAATGACGTGGGTGATGAATTTTTTTAGATAAACGTATATCGATAGAGAAAATTTACAGGGTGACAAATGGGAATAGGTGAAACCTTTTCCCCTATATTTCCTTCTCTACGTTATCACCAGGGATCGGGCTGTTGTAGGTTGAAACTTGGAGCCTGGCATATTCTGTGGGGACACTCCGGGGTCTAGTTCATATTCTCCAAAATGAGTGAGCTTAGTGTCGAAGAAAAAGTGTATCTCATTGAGTGCTATTATTTCCGAGGAAAAAATTACAGAAATGCGTATAGAGGCTTTCGTTGTAAGTTTGGTAGTCACAGAATTGAGAGTGAAACCACTCTCAAACGGTAAGAATTTTTTAGTTCTCCTGTACGATTTTTTTAGGTTAGTCCCCAATAAATTTTTTGGGTGAATGTGTTCTTTCTTGTAGGGTAATTGATAATTTTGTCAATTATGGTACCCTACAGGACCGTCGCCATGATCTTCCTGGTCCATCTTATATAGTAACAACGGAAGAAGTAGTGGACAAGGTGGAAAAACATTTCAAAAATCATCGGACTGATTCAATACGCAATGCGGCTGTGAAGTTAGAATTGAACCGGGAGACTCTACGTTTGATAATTAAACATTTCCTCAAACTTCATTTTTATAAAATCACTTCTCACCAATTGCTTATGCAAGCTGCTATAGGGAAACGACTTGAATTCAGCAAAGTTTTGACACAAATGTTTGAAAATGCTGAAATCGAAACCAATTGAATTATTTTCAATGATGAAGCTCATTTCTACCTTAATGGCTACGTGAATAAACACAATTATCGATTTTGGGGGAGTGAAGATCCACATTCATCAGTAGCAAAACCGCTCCACCCTACTAAAGTTACAGTTTGGACAGCTCTGTCGATCAAACAAATACATATGGAAATCTTGGAAGGAACCAGTACAGGGGAGAGCTACCGAGAGATGTTGGAAACCGAATTTTTCCCATTCGCTAAAAAAAAAGGATTGGTGAAAGATTCTATTTTATGCAAAAAGGTGCAACACCTCATCGAGCACCTCATCGAACTAATGTGTTTGCTGCATTGCACAAAGTATACGGTGATCGCGTCATCGGCTTAAGGTATCCTCGCTTCGCCCGAGCAGGGAGGAATGGCCACCATGCTCACCGGATTTGAACCCGTGTGATTTCTTCTTGTGGGGTTATCTCAAAGACTTCTGTTACGCGGACAATCCTCAGACAAAAGAGGCTCTGATAAGCGCTATCCAGAAGGGTGTTTCTAATATTTCTCAAGCTAAAATTGAAGAGATCTTCAGAACTATGGAAACTTCAAAAACGCCTTGCGCAAATTCTGATGGAGGACACTTCGAGAGTATTTACCATTAGTCATATGCGAATTTGTTTGATCAATTCTTTCACCGTATGAGTTTTTATTTAAAAAAAATGAAATGCAGCTCTAACTAATTGCAAATAAATTTGCAAAGTCTGTCATGTCTACAAACATGATGGTCTTTCCTTTCCTACATCAATCAACAAAACTATGATAGTTTAATTTTCACCTATTCTCATTTGTCACTCTGTACATATGTTTATGCGTGTGACTACGTACAGCGAAAACCCTCCATAGAGTGTGGCAGGCTGACCAACTCTGAAGAAACCAAATGGCGTCGGGCCGACGTTGCCACTTTTTATTCACAAATTAATTATTTTCCATTTATTATTAAAATTGCATACAACAATTTTTTGATGCATGTAGGATGTAGGAAAAAAATTAAATGGTTATAAAAAATATTATTTGACTAAAAAAGAATCTAAATATGGTCCTATTATTCAATTGAAGGGAACCGAATTTTCGTATTCAGGGATTGGTTTTCTGCAGGAATACAATAGATTCTCCTCCACCTCACCTCCTACATCCCGTCATTGCTTGAACATCGGTAACAATTATAATAACAAATTAAGGCATCCCTCCCTATTTCTGTTGCAAAGTCGGCGTGTCCCATATTGTCTTGCCAGCTTTTGGTATGCAGACACCTCCAAAAAACTCTTCTAGAATTTGTAAAACCATTAGAGTTGAAAGAAAATCAAGAAAACTTCATTACCTAATTGATTAAATAATTAAACAAGTTATAGAAATTAACTTGACAAAAAATTTTTTTTTTCTCTTTCCTATACCCTCTCGCGTCTTTACGATTTTCCGCATATCCCACCCTCCAACCTCTTGTAACGTATTTGCCGAAGGATGAGGTGAAACGTTATTGATTTATTTATTGCATAGAATATGAATTTTGTCTTTTGACATAAATTGTCACAGATTTCTTTTTGTTTAATGGAGACCAGAAATTGGCTAATAAAACTGGTCATTCGGTTTTTCAAACGAGATAGTTTAAAAATTAGATACTTATAAAAATTATCACATACATTATGTATAAATAGAAGGGAGGGTAATATTTACAGGGAGAGGAAGATAGATTAACTGCTTTGGGGGAGATCAGGAAGTCACCAATAAAGTTATAGTTTTTACCTCTATCTGGTAGAGTAGTATCCCATTTTACAAGATTTTTATCAACTAAAAGTCAATGTTTTCCTTATATGTAATTTTTTTTGTTGGTTACCTCTTTTGGTGTCATATATAATTGGGATGTTGTTTGTATTTTGTATTAAGTTCTTTCTGTTTAGATAAACGAATCGTTCTGGAGGTATGAACCCCGAGATAAGGGTTTTAGCTGAATAATTTTCGGTAATGTGAAAAGGAGCTCCTATTAAATTGCTTAAACCAATAACTTTTGAGGATTTATAAATGTGATTTCTAGTTAGTTTAAGTGTGAAGCAGTCGATTCTGTGAACATTAGCTTCAGATAGACCTTCTGATAACTATGGAATTTTTTATAATTAGATTGAAGAGTTCTGAATTTGCTTAGACATGGTCTGAAACATTTTCTTTCAAATGCACGCAATATTTCCATTCGTCTGTTATTTATAGCTTCCAGTTTTTGCGCACATTAGCACATGCTGAGCTCATGTTGGGTGTGAATAGAATTATATCACATTTGCTGGGGTTAATTTTGAGTTTCCAGTTACGATAATAATCGTTACTATTATTTTATTTTATTACAGGTATTTTGTAGATTATTTTGTACCTCCGTTATTTTTATTCGAGCAGTATTCGCGATCGCAACATAGATGTGGGAGCCATCAAATGATCTCTAAACTAACTACTTTTGGGGCCAACGAATGATATCACTGGAAGTGAACCAATGATAGACATCAAGCAATGAGATCACTAGGTTCTCCGTGATCTTATTGGTTGGCCCCCAAGAGTAGTTAGTTTAGAAACCACTTGATGGCTCCCACATTCATGTTGCGATCTCGAATATGAGTAAATCATCAGCAAAAGCTAGCCTTTGTATCTTGAGCATTGTTCAGATAAAAAATGTTCAGTAGGGTTCGAGTATACAGGGTGTCCCAAGATGATTTGTACGGCTAAATAACTAGCTATAAAGTCGTTAAACGCGAGAAA